CAACTATTTTTTTTCCCAGCGTGAACTGAGATGATAAACACTCTCTTCAACTTGAATATCTTCTGCATATCCATCAGAAAACAATATCTTGAAAAGTGAGCAAAGAAGCTATTGCTAGTCATTGGGTTCATATCTACTACAAAACCTATACGATTACAGCCATTGATAATACTACTCAAGATTTGACTCACCAACCTCCTTTTCCATTTATTCAAAATGAAACTGTGTTTGTAAAGGCTGGCTCGGCCTTCATCGTGTTAGTTATGGAGAAGATAATTAAGCTTTTCTGTTGCATTCTATGATCATGTCATATCTCTCTCCTTTAGTTCCTTTGGGTGAAGTTTTATTATCTTATAAACGAGAAATTTGCTCTTAATTCCCTCTGTTCGGAAAAAAAAAAAATCATTCGAATAATCATAGGTTACACTTAGACCATCATATTAATGTCTCGCTACAATCAATTCCTTCTATTTGAAAAAAAAAACATTAGCAGCCAGTCAGGCTTTGTATCAACTTACCCAGTGGCGGATCTACATGGAACGATGGGGGTACTACAACATCCCCAACAAATTGTTTTATATAAAAAAACAAATTATTTGTAAACATTTTTCATGTTATTGTACCCCAGCAAATGGATTGTATTATGTTTTTAATGTCTGTGATTGAATAACTACATAAAATATATATTTTCCGATTGCTATAGAAAGTGTAGAGAGAATAATTTGTGGAATAGCATGGATGATCAGGTTTTAAACGATTGTTTAGTCACTTTTAATTAAAAGGATGTATTTCTACAAGATCTTGATGATGATATCATTGATCGATTTCAAGATATGAAGTCTTGGTGGATTCAATTGTAACTTTTGCTTAAATTATATATATATTTTTTTCCGATTTACGACTTTATATATTAAAAAAACTCTTTGCATTTACCATTTTGAATCTTAATAATGTTTGCACCCTGTATCAAAATTTTTGGCTCCGCCATTGAACTTACCGGTTTCATTATATTGCACTTGAAATTTCATAGGCCCATTAAGTTCCACGCAACCGGCCATGTTAGATTGAGATTGTATGAATCAAATGATGGGAATATGGTTTTGTAGACATGCACGTTACGATATATGGTGCCATTCCATTAATCCGTAGCTCAATTTTATAAAGAGATAAATAGCAAGTAACAAGTAGCAACTAGCAAGTAGTGGTTAGGTTAACTCATGTACTTAAACTAAATTAGCTCATATCATGTGTGATGCATTTGGGGGGAGGTAGTTTTGCTCTTGTATCTTGTTAGTTAAGAGTTAGTAAATAAGACATTTGAAAATCCCCCTCTTTTTTTCAGGTGTGACCAAAACCCACAGGTACCGAAATATTGGGTTTGGTTTTAGGAAACATAAAAACCAATAAAAACTAAACCGAACTGAAATTATTAATATATCATTTTTTGTAAATACTATATAGATATTTATTTCGTAAGACAATATTACAAATAAAATGTAGCGTAAGTGGTTCAGCACGTCACCCTAGTACCTTGAGGTCCCGAGTTTTGAATTTTGTCCACTGCATTTCTTGTTCCAGACTTTTGATTCCGTAAATGTATATATATGAATTCCATGAGTATTCCAGTGGTTAAGTGTGTCGACTTTGAAGACTAAGGTGCATCTGAGGTCTTGTGTATTCTCTTAAGCTCTCACTTAGAGGATCCCACAAGGCCAAAAAAAAAAAAGTTTCACCCTTTGCATTCTCTATATAAGAATAAGAAAGTTCTCATGTCTCACCAAGTAGGGTTGAAATTGGGTTTGGGTTCAATCCAAAACCGAGAAACCGGATCCATTGCTTTGGGTTTGGTTTTAGGTCAAAACCGGCTCATGTTCACGCCTACTTTTTTTTATAGGAGTAATAAACTAAACTAGGAAAGAAATGGGATAGATCATAATCAATAATTCAATACAATACAAGCATCTTGCAGCTGTTTTTGTACTCTTGGATAACATGTGCCAATCTGGCATGTTTAATTAGCCCTTGGTTTGCTTCTTGAATATTATGTTGTACTTAGATTCTAGTATAGTTGGATATTCTGTCACTGGTCCCACAAAATAACATGCAAGTATTTTATTTTATTTGCGATGGCGTTGGGGAGGGAAGAAGTCTGTTTTTCTTATTATTTTTCTATTGTTCTTTCTTTATTCTATATTCTCTAATGACTTCTTTTTTTCTAATGAGCTACTGGGTTATAATTTATAATGATATATTAACATGTATTGCCGAGGAAGCTATTGTTTAGAGAGGTCAACTAGCAGCCCATGTGGGCATCAGATCAGGTGTTTAATCCATGGATTAAGATCCTGTTTTCACATAGCTTTAGATTCCAATATTACGGATGCTACTAATTTTAATAAAAAATCACGTTTCTTAATTGGAATATATAAATTAATATAATCAAACAAACAGCCAGAAATCACCGTAAAAAATAATAAATAAAATAAAAATTGACAACACAACTAGGTCTATAAATATAATCGTGGGCTTCTGGAATCCGGTTTTTAAATGGTTCGATTCAACAATCCCTATGCAATTTTGAGTTGTGTAAGGTATGTATGTAGCCACGATTCTTTAATAAAAACGACTAAATCGTTTCATGTATGGTCCAACAATTATTGGATAGGAATCATAGGGAACCAAATTTTGTCACGAGTATAATGTTTACACTCATCATGCACCGATTAAGATAAAGAGTATGTATGGTGTGGCAATCGCCAATTCATGTCAAGGCCCACATACCATAACCTACATCAATTCTTCAACTACTCATTCAAGTAACAAAATACTAAAAATTAAACTTTTACTCTAGTGATTAAGTTTATTGCTATTTAAAGCTGAAATCATTGACTAAATACTTCCAATTGGCATTAGGATAAGATTTATTGATTCTAAAATATGGAAAGACTTGATAACCTTTGATGGTGGCCCTATCCCTGTGATTATATTTATATATAATATATCACCCACATGCTATCTTCATTGACAACATTTTACGTGTTTAATTTATGTTGGTGTAATATACATATAAAATATTCATTCCGTTTTTAATAATCTTTTCAATCACACAATGCAACAATTTCTTTGATTAGTCCCATAGTTATATGTACTCTTATAACCATAAATTGTATTATTATCGTTGAGTCTAATCAAATTATGATATAAATAGGTGGTTTGAAATAAAAGTACAAGAGAAGGAACTAGTAGATGGATATAATGATAATGATCTTAACCATTTTAAATGATCAATGCTTGTAGTTGAATTAAAATGATATAAGTAATATTGTTGGTGATTTGTATCACTAATATTATTTAAGTGTAAAATGATTGATCTGTTGATCAATGTTGCCTTGATAAATATTGAACAAGTTAGGATGGTTCAGAGTGTACATTTGTTTAAGTTTGTCTTAGTTGAAAGTACACTACTATTTAGGGGGAAAGCTCCTAAACCGACGGGAGTCCAAGGGCAACGGCTCTAGGAGAGGGGTCCAAGGGGTGGCAATCCCTAGCGAGGGTCGAGCTGCCAGGTCAGCTTGATTTTTTTTTTTGGGTTAATATTGTTTTGTTAAAAATGCATGGAAATCTGAATTTGAGAAAAGGAACCCGATTTTATGATCCTGATTCTAGACCTGGTTTTAAGGTAGTTAGTGTCAGTTTGAGATGGTTACGAAACTGCCATATGATGGTTTTTGGCAGTTTTCACACAAGGTAGTTTTCAGACAAATGAGTTATCTCTTAATATTGATCATTCTCGTTTTTTATATTTCGATACACCAAGAGATCATAACTTCATCTTCATTCTATATTCTTGAATACTTAGTTTTATCTGGTTAATAATTTTCAAATGTACATTCGACATGCTTTAATCTGAAAGTGTCATTCATAACTCTAAGTAATCCAAGCATTCTCAAAACCATCGTACAACAAGAACAACAAACTCTGATAATCTCATTAAATGGGACAAAAGGAGGTAGATATAGATAATTGTATCTTCATAGGAGGCAGAACGACTACTACGTCAACAAGAAGATCTTTGATATATGCAACTGGTATCTCTAGAAGAGGCAAACATGACAAAGTAAATTAAAGTAAGGAACAATACATAAACATGATTATGATGATAAAAATATGTAATTGAGAAATCTTTTTATTTAAATGCATAATAAAAAGTTTAATATTTAGTTATTAATATCAGTATCCAAATATTTATATAAAATGATATATTTAATCAGTGACGAATCTAGAACCAAAAACAACGTGGTTCATTATTTAAATGAAACTGAAAAATAAGGTAGGTCCTAAATTTTTTTTATATATATTTGTTTTATTGAAAAATAAAAAAGGTAGGTCCTAGGACCTACCTTGTGAATGCTTAGCTATGTATCTAATAGAAAGTATTACAATGTTACAAACGAAATGATTAGATTCCATCATGTTTGAAAATGGGTATCTCATATAGGAATAATTTAAACTCAACTAGATATAATTGATTATGCATTTTAGTATAATTACAAGTCAATTAGCTAACAGTTAATGATTTTTTTTATTCATTTGGATAACACAGTATTTTATTTATTATTTTGGTAACCAAGCAAACCTAGTTATTTACGTCATGTGGTAACCAAGATTTCGAATATTTGGTAATCATTAATCAAGAGGTGATGTAGGTGTCTGTAACATACACAAATTTTAAGTATATGACATATGCAACATACATATATTTTTTAATGACCTAATTGACAATTTTTGTTTCCAATAGAGTGAACCAGTTCATCCCTTTCTCATTTCATCATATCAAATAATGCATTCTGTTTTTTGATATATAATTTTAAGGGTCTTCGGACGTACTTTTTGTTGCTAAAATCACCCATATAAGGCTTGGCGGTGTGGCTCGGCAAATCCGAGGTGGCTTCGGTGCACACCGCGCCACGACCTCGGTGACGACAACTCGACGAGGGAATCCAGCAATCGTCTTATGATGAGAGAGAAAGGATTAACGCATTTACCATTTTTTTTTTACCATTTAAACCTTTTTTTTCAAAAAAAAACACATCATTTTCAAAATATAACCGTTTTTTTTTTGTTTTTTTGTTTTTTTTTTAAAACCCTAAATCCTCTACTATAAATATCACCATCCTTCTTCATTCTTTACCACATTCAAATCTATTTAATTTAATTCTCCTAACCTTCTTATTTTTCATCTTCTTCAAAACTCCGGCGCCAAAAAATGTCTCGGGTTTGGTCAACATTAACGTCACTACGACTACTTTTTGGAGTAGGGTCGCCGAAAATTCAACCTCGAAGCTGTCCTACCTCGAAGTAAAGATAAAGTATTCTTCAAATGGAGACATACAAGCGTAGTTTCAATTCAGTTTAACAATGTGTTTCGTTGGATGATGAGTGAAGCCAAGCAAGATAAAAACGAAAATACTTTGTTTGTGAATGCTCACGAGACTTTCCATGAAGAAACTAACAAATCTTTCTGGCATGTTGGGTTTTGGCAAATTGTGAGCCGGTGCTACAAATGGCATTCACTTTAAGCTCATGATCTTCTAATTTCTAGTGGTTTGTGTATTTTAATTTCTAGTTATGACGT